ACCAGCTCTCCATCCCCAGATGGCTGAGCCTATCCCCAACGATCACCAACGTACAAATACACGGATTTGCAGACGCATCGACGGTTGCCATGGGGGCAGTCGTGTATTTACGAATTCAACAAGGTCACGAAGCACCAACAGTCAGCTTGGTGTGTGCGAAAACGAGAGTAGCACCATTGAAGAGAATGACCATTCCACGCCTAGAGCTCACCGCAGCCCTCCTGCTGACAAAAATAGTCAGCTGGACTCAACAAACGCTGGAACTCAACGCAGAGATATACCTCTGGTCAGATTCATCGGTCGCCTTGGCATGGATCAACAGCCATCCATCACGATGGAAGGAGTTCGTTCACAACAGAGTGACGAAAATACAAGAAGAACTACCAACAGCTGTGTGGAGACATGTTGGTGGGATTTACAACCCCGCTGACTGTGCTTCACGTGGCATATCACCGAATCAACTCAACGAACATCATCTATGGTGGAGCGGGCCTGACTGGCTAGCCAAACCGCCATCAGCCTGGCCACAAAACACAATCAATACTCCAACGGAGGTCTCACTTGAAGAGAGACCAGCATCGGCTCACCCAGTGGCTGTTGAAGTTAGACAGCATCCATTGGCAGAGTTCCTCAACAGATACTCCACGTTATCCAAGGTTCTACAAGTCACAGCAACAATAAATCGAGCAATCCAACGACTTCGCAGACAACCAACGCCAGAATCACCAGTCTTGACAACGGGAGAACTCAACGAAGCGAGAAACTTCTGGGTGAAGGTAACTCAAACACAATACTTTGCCAACGTGTTTCAGAACCTCAACAGAGACCTTCACCTGCCTCGTCAACATCCACTGGCCAAACTCACCCCGAGAATTGACGATTCAGGGATCCTCAGGCTGGGTGGACGATTGAAAAACTCCATGCTCGATCCCGACGAAACTCATCCGATCATTCTACCACGACAGTCACGCCTAACAACGCTCATCATCAACGAAGCTCACAAGAAAACACTACACGGAGGAACGCAAATCACCATGGCCTACATCAGACAACGATACTGGATCGTTGGCGGCAGGAAATCAGTACAATCATTTATACTACGCTGCTCTATCTGCACCAGGTTCAGGGCAACACGAGCACAACAGCTGATGGGTCAGCTCCCAACGTCGAGAGCAACACCTTCACGACCATTCCTGCACACTGGAATCGATTATGCAGGACCTCTTCCAATTCTAAAGTGGAGGCCAACGAACGCTCAACCATCAACTGTCCATATTGCTGTCTTTGTCTGTTTTAGCACA